AGGCTCCCTCCCCCGGCGGGGATCCTGCTGCTGCCGCCGCTTCTCGCCGGAGCTGGAGCCGGGCAGCGCCACAGGTAGGGGGGTGCGGGCAGGCAGGGCTGGCAGAGCTGGCAGGGCAAGCAAGGCAGGCAGCTGCTGCCGCATCTCCCCGCAGCGGGGGCTCGTCCCCCCTCTCCCCGGGCTGCTGGAGCCTGGGGCAGCTGCGGGCGGGCCGGGGGGGTGCTCAGCCCGGTGCTCTCGGTCGTTTCACTCAGCTGCTCAGCCCGGTGGAGGGCGGCTGTGGGACCTGTGGAGCGGTGGTCGGAGGAAAGGCAGCGAGGAGAGGTGCCCAGGTCCGTGCCCTGCTGCGAATTAAGTTATTAATACTGTGACTCAGCAGGAGGCACCGCGGAGGGGGTACAGGAGGTGTGAGGCTCTCCCGAGGCAAGGGGGGCTCCGGCTGTCCCGGTCCCATCGTTTCTCCATCCAGTGACCCGCTGGTGAGTGACCAGCAAGACGCCCGGTTGTGGCTTTGCTCTTTAACAGTGGTTGCAATTAACAGGGAAGTTTTTCCCTGGGCTTTTATCCAGCTGCATCAAAGCACTCTATAAATCCTGGGGCTTCTCGAAGGAGCCTTTACCAAAGCTCATTGCTCTCAGAGGAGCCCAAGGCCAAGGCTGGATGTGGCTGCAGGGGTCTCCCTGGGGAGAGCAGCGGGATGCTCGGAGTGATGGGGGGGTTTCTGACTATGGGAGGGATGGAGGGAGCTTCCCCATCACCCCTCTCCTTCTCCCTTGCAGGATGGACCTCTCTGACCCCACAGGTCCTGCCGCCCTCCCCAAGCACATTCTGGACATCTGGGTCATCGTCTTGATCATCCTGGCCACCATCCTCATCATGACAGCTCTGGTGCTCTGCCCAGCCACTGCCGTCATCATCTACCGGGTACGGACTCACCCCACACGCAATGGCATCGTGTGAGGTGGAGGCAGAGGCAACGAGGGACAGCCAGCTTGCTGGGCAGGGGCCCACAGCTGTGGGACCCTGTACTGGGGACCCTGCAGAGCCCAATGGGGGCACCCCGAGACCTGAGGAGAGATGAGCAGGAGCTGGGGTGGGCTGGTACCCAGATGCCTGCCCCTGAACCTGGCTCTCACTGAGTGAACCTGTTGCCTCCTATTTACTGAGCTCATGGGGACCGTCAGGGAGATGGTGGCCTGGGCACCAGCGGGGAGATGTGTGACTTTGCAGACATGTCCAGCTAGAAACAACTCGCTCCCGTGAAGCAGGCAGGCTGGTCTTGACTTCACTGGTGACTCTTTCTCCTCCCAGGCAGGCAGCAAGAAGTGGAAATGCCTGGCAAAGTTATTTCTTCTTTGGAGTCTCAGCTGTTGGGGTGATTGGGAAAGAAGGGTCAGAGCAAGATGGATGTGACTTCTGGTTGTGCATTCAGAGACTCGGCTAAAAGCATCGGTGACAGAGCCTGTCCTGGCTGCACAGCAGATGTGCAGCTGGCACCAGTTTCTCCTCTGTCAGATACCTGCTGAAATTGTAGGAAAACACTATGGGATGCTTGTTTCCTCTGGGTCTTGTGGGGCAGACAAGTGTGGGCAGCTCCTGCCAGCCTGCCTGCCCACACGCTGGCTGTGCTCAGTGCTCCTGCCCATGGTGAGGGCCCACATTTCTGGCCCTGTTGGGGGGGATCTGTATGCCCCTTGCCTGGGCAGGCAAAGCAGGAGGAGCAGAGGGGCTCATGCCCAGGCGGGGGCAGGGGACCATGTGAGCTCCTACATTGCCCCTTCCTATGAAATAAATGGACTTTATTCTACATGTGAGCATGTCGTGCTGCTCTGTCCTCACTGCAGATGGTGTCTGGGTGCCCATGTGTAGGATCTGAGATGCTTTGCAGCCTCTCCAGAAACTCTCCCCATGCTGACATCCTGCCACCACCTTGGCTCGAGGCCCCCGGGGTTCTTGCCCAGCCTTTGAGCCTTCTGGCCGCAGCCCTGTGGGAGGCACACTGCTAGCCCGGCCCCACACTCCTGGGGTGCAAACACAAATCTGGCTGCGATAGCAGCAGCAACCATCAGACAGCAAGCAGGAAGGATCCACAGGGACTTTTTGACAGCAGTGACAGTTGATTTTCTCCTGCTTGGGTGACCAGAATCGCTCCCTCCCTGCCAGCCTCTTGTGCTGGGCTCTGGCGTGCGGCAGGAATCCTGGGGCTGAAACAGCATCCAGGTGACTCACGGCGATAACTGTCATGAATAATGGGATGACTGTGTCTGGGATGTGGGGAAACACTATGGTGATGCTGATGGGAATTGTTTAAATTCTCTGTTGGTGTTGGAAACCCTGCGTCCCACCCCTGTACAGTTTGTTCCACGACAGCCGGCATTAGGTTTGCTTTTGGCGTTGGGGCTGGAGGGCCAGGCGATTCCCAGGAAAGCAGGACCTTGGGTGAATGCCTCCCCTCCTGGGGAGGGAGCCCAGCACGGGGACACAATCCCTGGAGAACAAAACTGCTTGCGCTGGAGCCGTGGGCTGCGGTTGTGCTGGGGAGGAAGCAGACATGTATTCCTTGCCTGGCCCAGAAACAAATTTCTGTTTTGAGCTGTTGTCTCTCTCTCTTCCCCTCTCAAGTTGCAGAATTTGAGGCAAATAACCAGTTATTGTCCTGTTGTTCCCCCTCTCTCCCTCCCTCGCTGGCACGGCACTGCGGCGGCAGCTGGAAGAAATTAGGGCTGTGCTGGGTGGGAGCAGCCCCAGCTCTGCCTCCCCCTGCCGTGCTCCACCCCAGCGTCCCTTCCCTGGGGACGCCGTCGGGTGGGGGGACAGCCAGCGGCATCTGGCACCAGGAACCGGAGCTGAGCAGCTTCACCGTAAGAGGAGTAGGGAAGAAACCACAAATAGCGGAGTGGTTTGAGAAGGAAGCCTGGTTTGGAGCAAAACACCCGGGGAAAAGCATGCAATCCCCCCTGTCCCTGCAGCCATGCCCGGTGGCTTTTTCCACCTCCCCGTGCCCCTTCTCATGAGCAACTGGAGGGGCGAGAGGTTTCCTTTCATGGTAGGAGTTTTCTGGGAAGTTTCAAGCCCATGGCAAACATTTCCAGGAAAGGTATTGCAAAGCCTTGGAAAGCCTCATCACAGCAACAAACTGCATGGAGCAAAATGGCAGTGGGGGGAGAGAGCAGGGAGAAGCTGGGACATTTTTTAAAGCATGGAAATTGGGTGTATGATTTAGACTGACGTGCACTGTCGAGTTGGAAATTTGTCCTCCAGGACTAAGCAAGATAAGCAAATCCCCCCGCAGCCCTGACTGGTGCCTGAACAGTGCTGGAGCTCAGAGGCAGCATTTTGCGTGGCATTTTGCTGAGGAAAAATGCCTTTTCCTGCCCGTTGGGGTCCTGCAGTGGTGACGCTGTGGCAGGCAGGCGTGATGTGGGTGCTGGGGTGATTCAGCATCCTCCAGGATGTTTCCCTGCCAGCGCTGGCAGGTGCTGGAGCGTGGTGGGAACTGGCTGCCAGCCCCTGGGGACTGCTGCTGGGGGAGGCTGATGCTGGCTGCCCCAGGGTGCTGGCTCTCGCCTCTGGGCAGCAGCGAGGGCCATGCCACGGATGTGAGCACCCGGCTCAGCTGCCTTATCCCTGCTGGTTGGGACATTGGGGACCCTGTGGCTCGTCAGGAAGGTTGTGGGGAGCCCCAGTGGCAACTGTGCAGTAGGAGCCGACCCTGAACGTCTTGGGTGTTGTGGGGGAAGTGTTGCCTGGAGCAACTGCTGATACAGGGCCCAGACACAAGCCCCATGGCCTCACATGGAGATTTATGGGGTCCCAAGCCGCCCTCTGCACTGCAGGATGCAGTGGGGGTTCTGGGTGCACATCGCAAACATCATGGCTGGTGGGCTCATCCTTCCCCAGCCTCAGGGAGGAGCAAATAATTGCAGGAGCACTCAGGGGGGACTTCTCATGTTGGAGGGGAGAGCAGCAGCATTCAGTGGGCACCCATCTCCCCTCACCTGCTCAGCATTGGGTGGGGGCATTGGGCCAGGGGCCAGGGGCGTTTCTTCAGGGGGCAAATCCTTTCCTAGGAGAGGAAGGGATGGGGATGCTGGAGGGGGCAGCACCTGCAGCCATAGCCAGGGAGGTGCAGGGGCATTTGGGGAGGGGGGATCTGTGCTCCAAAGGGCGCTGGGCACCATGCCCAGCAGGGAGGCTGCTGTCAAGGCCGGGCAGCACCAGTGGGAGCACATGGGGGCTGAGGCAGGGTGGCAAGGGCGGGCGAGCTGCAGAGGTGGCAGTGTGAGGGAAACCTGGCACCGGAGGAGCTGGGGCCTCTTGCCTGACAGAGCTTGTTTTGCTTTCGCCTCCTGTTGCACACCTAGAACAAAAGTTCAGAGGTTGCCCTGGGATTGATTCCATGCCAGGCTGCCAAGAAGGAAATCAGCGCTGCTGCCAGCTGGGGTGATGCTGCCTTCCACTGCCCGAGCCCCTCGCTGCCATCCCTGGCACGCTGCTGGCACTGTTCCCACTGCTGGTTTCATGTCCCCTGGGCTCACCATGGCCCTGCAGCCTGGTACAAGGTCTCTGCAACCCCCAGCCTGTGGTTTGGGGACAGCTGGGGAGGTTGGTGGCAGCAGCAGCATGGTAGCCAGGGGGCTGGAAGCGCCTGGCCTCTCGTCCCCGGACTCCTGCCAAACATCTGCAGCAGGCGGGGGCTGGCTCCAGCCCGGCTCTGGTGGAAAAACAACCGAAGAGGGAGGCTCGTGCAAGGGTCAGCCCTCCCAGCACGCCTGCCATTTGGGGTGGGGGACCCTGATCTGTCAGGGTGGAGCAGCACACTGCCCTCGGACAGTCTTGCTGGAGTCCCTGGCACCCTTGTCTCTCCTGTGCTGCCTCTGGCATGGCACAGCATAGTGGGGACACTGGGTGACATGCCCAGGGTCCCACGGAAGCTAAGTGGCAGAGGTGGGGTCCATTGACTGTGTCTCGTTAAATTTTCCCTCGTTCCCCACCTCCACCAAGGCCAATTTGGCACCAGGTCCCAAGGAGAGGAGACTTAGAGAAAGGGTTCCTTTATTTTTACTTTGGTTTTAAAAAAATGCAGTTCAGAAGTGGCTCAGCCTTTTGCTGCATGTGGTGGGGATCAGGGACATGTGGAAGGGACACAGCCAGACTGTGCCACCATTCCGTGTGCCTCACTGCTTCTCCCGGCCCCAAGTCCCTGTTAACCACAGGAAACCCACCAGAGCCCCACTCAGGGAATGAGGGGCTATAATTACAAGTGGGTGGCTGTTCCTATGGTGGGAACTATGGGCACAGGGAGCACAGCCCCAAACATCTCCCAGGCTCTGTCCTGGGAGGTGGCTTAAGCCCTGGCTGGGGTGAGCACCGTTAGCTCGCTGGGGAGCATGGCACCGTGCTGAGGAGCGTGACATCGTGCCGGGCACACACTGGTCCCTGTTAGATGCAAGATGCTGTGAGGTGTAGGCAGCGTGTCAGCCAGGAACAGCAGATCCATGGCCCTGTAGCCCCAAATCTCCCCAAAGTCTGGGAAGTGGGTGGGGAGGGTTGAGCCCCTGGTTTTGGCTCTCACAGGCTCCCCGGTTTTGGCAAGAAGCTGCCTCATGCTGCCCATGGCCATATCTGTGAGGGAGGACTGAAGCATCCCTGCGGCTAGCCCAGCCATTGGCATGTTGTGTTGGGCTCAGGGCAAGCCCCAGGGAGCAGCTGAACATCTTGGGGATTTGCTTGAACCTTGGGGAGCACCGCACACCACCCGGGGACCCACGCCAGGGCAGGGCTAAGCCACTTATCCAGTAGCAGTGCAGGTTTAAAGCTTGAGAAACACTGCCCTTGATGGAGGGACCTGCAACTCCCCCACTCTTCGGGTTCCGCAGGTGCCTGGGGGCTGTACCCGATCCCCAGCCCTCCCATGTCAGCTGAGGCTGTACTTGGAGCCTGACAACATCATCAGCCTTTCTCAGAACACAGAGTTCCTGCCAGAGAAGGACACGGGATGGGAGATTGCTCCCAGCCTCCCCCAAGCCCACGGCCCTGCTCCCATTCCCTGGCAGCGTCTCCAGCAGCCGGCTTGGTGACAGGGCCCTGGCAGGCCTGGCCCTGCTTTCTAGTAAAGCCAAACCTTGTCCTGGCATCCATGGTCCCCCGGGGGCTCACCCGCTGCCACCCCATCCTGCCCTCTGTCCCGC